GTTTGTCACGTGAGACAATATTTTGGAGGCAGAGGCGTTGACCCACCAGTCACTATGCACTTTTAGGAACTTATATTAATCCCTTGGTGCAAGAGAAAAAGGGAAAGGAATGTAGAATGGATAGCACCTAATGATTACCATAAGATAATCTCTTTTACATTTTATTGTGGGAGCTAGGTATGAGAGAGGTCACATTCACTAGGGCCTGTCGCGCTGCCTTAGTGTTAATTATTTGTTTGGCATTATCGCTAGTTGCCTGTCTTCAAATCACATAATATAATATAATCCTCCTCAGGTCCAACGGTCAAAGTCTCACCCCAAATCCATAATTGTTAATCTCGGTCCATCTCTATAAAAGTATCTGTTTCTTTCCCACATCCTAACTACCACCGGTCTGAAAACATAATCCGTAATTGTTGTTTTATATTTTTGTTCCCTTAATTTATCTTATCTGGCGCTATTATTTGTCCTCAATTGAAGCAAATCTTAAGATTTGAGATCAAGTATATTTTTATCAAAACTACGGAGACTAAAATGGAATATAGGTGAAACTTTGGGGATTAAAAGTATAAGTTTCTTGGTAACTGAATTAAATTTTCTCCCGAAGAGGACGTGTCAAGCAGAATAGCTTTGTCCACTAGTAACAAGGGGAGGAAAATAGGGGAAAATGAGGCACTTGAGTATGCGCATTATCTATTTTTGAAAGAAAATATGTTTTTAATATTAATTACTTTAGAATAAATAAAGCTTATGTTTGAATTGAGTTATATGCTAGAAACGAGGAGAAAGAAAGGGAAATGGAGAGAGATTCAAATTTTTATTTTTATTTACTTACCAAAATTATTTAACCAAAAATAAATATATAAAAATTTAATGACTGCCATACCATAATATTTTCTTGATTTTTTTTCCAGTTTAAGAAGGGAAATTAAAATATTTTTTTTATTTTTTTCAATTAAAGAAGTCTGAATCATTGTTTTTCTTTTTCTTCTACGTTATTATTTATTTTCATATTTAAATGTGATAAATAATATAAAATTTAACAAAAAAATCTGATCTAATAAAAAAATACTATTTTTATACTTAAACTCCTCAACTTTATTATATCAATCATATTAATCTCTAAATTTTTTGATTTTTTCAATTTAATCTATACAAGTTTAAATTTTTTAATAATATATAAGATTATTAATTTTAAAAAAATATTATTAAAATTCAAATTTAGATATTTAATGAATCAGATTACTTAATTTCATGTTCGATTCACTTATTTCAGATTGTGTATATTTATAATTGAATAAGATCCATCGAATATTTTTATTAAATTTGAATTAAATTCAGATCAAGTTTAGATTAAAATTTAACTAATTAAACTATGAGGTTATGGTTTTTGGGTATTAAGAAAATTGTAATTTTACCCTCTAAAATGAAATTATAAATGCACGTCTTGTATTTCATTTCACATATTTTTCTTTTCTTTTTTTTTTTTCCCCATCGTTAACATTTAATCTAGTCTTAGAAAAGGGAGGGAAGAATGGGAGAATATATAATTGTACGTATTAAAGTTTTAGACTTACAGCAAAATATATTATTATATTTGTAGAGTGAAGCTGATGGCCATTATATATAATCATTGTCGATATGATGCAGAAGATAAGAATGGACGGTTGAAGTTGAAGATTGGAGATTTTAGTCCACCGTGAAAGCAATGGCTTTCCGTGTCTTATCTTCAAGCTGTAGACTTCATTTCAACCCTCCAATTAGAAATGTGCAACTTGTTTTTGCTTCAGAGTCAGCGCTTCTCAAGCAACTCATTTTTGCATTGACACTGCCAATTTGAACGCAAGCACGACCCGTTTAGGGAAAGTGTGTGCAATAGATCACCCATTTGCTTTTGACAAGGGCATTCACCATTGACGCATTTCTTAAACTTGTTATGGAGATCGACCTATTCCACAGGAGCGGAGAAGTCAACCAATGGTTAGTCTAGTGGTTAAGAGTTGAACCATTTCGTCCGTCCATTTAACAGCAGAAAATCCAATTACCAAAATATTCATTGGTCGGATTGGTTTGGTTTATCTGTTAACTCTTGGATCACTATACTTTAGGATAAATTTGATTCGCATGAATTCAAAACACCAATCATAATGGTGAGATAAAAATGCTATACTTGTCATTATTGGATCGATTGCTTAATTGAAATTGATTATTAGATTTAGGCTGATATTCAAATATTTATCAGAAGCATTCTAAACCTAGTTTTTGATAGGATAATGATTTCACGAGTTAATAAAGAACCTAGTCACCTGTATATAGAATAAGGTATTCCATCTATCATAAGATTCCTAATTTCAACTTATACTATAAATACCCAATACGTGTACAAGTGTATATGACTTATAGCATATAACCAAAATATGTGGATTATTAAATATAGATAGAGATTACATACATCAGGCTACTTCTCACAAAAACAAAATTGAATAATTACCGTAACCCATTAAAGAATTCTAGCAACGTCGTCTTCCTTTCGTCTTGGTCCATCCTCGGAGTGGAAAAGAAGGCTTTATCCTACAGTTCTGTTTGTTCGGCATATTGTCATCTTATTGAGAAGTACTGCACTTGGCTGAGTATGTGGTGAAATTCAACTTGAGTTTGCTGTAATGCAGCTTCCTTTGACCAAAGTAGTTTAGTGCTCTCTTTGATGGATATTTGAGCCTTCTCTATTTTGGGTTTTGAAGATCCTCGTGATCAACCTGGAATCTTCTTTTACTCTTTTGTTGATAAAAGCATGATCCATGCTCTGCCACCCCATTTTGGACTACTGCGTTGGCATCTTATAGGTGTGCGTGGAAATTTCAGTCGTAGTGTCCAAAAGTGTTGCGTTAAAGAGTACTTTGTTAATGTGCTTTTTATATTTCAGATTTTTTTAATAATACAAAAATTATAAGTCTTTTTGTAATACTTCCATAAGAACTTAAGGAAAAAAGAAAACAATTACAAACATGGCTTTGTACGTATGTAACCCATGTTGGTTCAATGTACATCTTGAGGGTCTACATCTCCTTACCGGGACTCAAAATTATAGTGAGGTTGTAAATGATGAATGGCATAAGTTTGTGGCAGATATGTGAAGTATGCTTGTGCACATCTCTTTCAAACCCAAATACACCCAGGAGGTGGTTGGATTGTGGCTTTCTTATATCATTATTATATATATATATTTTTTTTATTTATTGTAATATATTTTTAAAATTTTTTTGCCAAAATATGCATTTATGACTTCTATTAAAAAGTCAACTAGTAGAAAATCAACTTGTATTAAGAAGTCGGTTCAGCATATAAGTTAGTCACCTGACCAAGGTTAAGGAAGCAAGGCAAAAAGGCAGAGTAGTGGTGGGCAATGGTCACAAGAGGAGAGGGAGGAGAAAGAGGGGAGGAGGAAGAGTGAAGGAGAAAGATGGGCAGCGGCCAAGGAAGAAGAGGGAGGAGGAAGAGGGGTAACAAGGGGGAGGGGTGGAGAGAGTCAAGTATGTGATGATGACTACATAGAAGTCGATAGTAATTGTGAAGACTGTTAAGAAAGAAGAATGTTGAAATTTCAAGTAAATCTCTTCATATTATATATTTTCACAAACAAGGCATTTGTTTTATATAATTTAAATATATCTAAAAATATTATAACTTAGTTGAAAAATATCTAATATTTTTAGACAAATTTGAAATTAAGTTGCAAGAAAGTACTTGTTTGTGAGAAGATAAAACATCAAGAGATTTACTAAATTAAAAATCCAACATTTTTCTTCAATAACCTTCACACAGTCACCATTGGCTTCCATCCCATCGTTGCCTCTACTGCCCCCCTTCCTCTACCCTTGTTGTAGCTACCTCTCTTCCTCCTTCCTCAACCCTTGCCCCTCTCTCTCCTTCCCTGTTCCTCTTCCTTCCCCTTCCTTTTCCCTTTCTCCTCTCTCTCTCTCTCTCTCTCTCTCTCTCTCCTCTCTCTATAGCCACTACTTTACTTTTCTTGCTTCCTTCACCTTGGTTGACCGACCAACTACCTTAAAGGATCAATTCTCATGAATCGATTTCTTTGCAAAATAACCTCAATAAGAAGTCGGTTTTCTAAACCCATTTCTTAATAAAAGTTGATTTGCTCTCAATCAACTTTCTAATATAAGTCGGCTTCTATTAATTGACTTTTTAATATAAATAAAAAATGCATATTTTTGTAGGTGTGTGTAAAAACTGTTGAACTAAAATGTCAATTCCTAAGCTAAAACTAAACTTATTATGTAAATCATTAACAAATATTACACAAATAACAATATTTTAGATCATTCTGAAGCATGACTTACCCACCTACTTGTCTTGTATATAGTATTGGAGTACATCCAAGCCCATCCAAATATGTGGTGTATTGCACATATAAGAAAAAGGAGTGATCAATATTCAAATACAAATCATCCATCAAAAGGGAACGAAGAGATCGAGTGGCTGACAATCATACCATCATTATCTATTTATTTATTCATTTATTTTTTTGAGCTTAGTGAGAGGTACCGACCCTACCTTAGTTTTATACACAAGTTGGGTACAAATCACAAGCTGACCACTTTTGTTTAATCAAACGAGTATGAAGAAGGAAAGTCATCATTGTTTCTGTTATGGAGAAGTGTTTTTTTAAAAAAAATAATAAAAAAAGGAACTAAAGAAGAAACTCTTTTTACCTTTCAAATATTTGCATCCTCTTAATGAAATCCGTCAATAGAAAGTTCAAATTGAAAAATTGGAATTTTATAATTCCAAGAAAACAAAATATACACTCTGTTTATCCTCAATCTTAAATATCTTCTGTTTAGTCCTTATAAGCATCATTCTCATATCAGGTAAAACTAGTTACAGCTAGTAATTAGCCCAATCTCCAACTCTCTCAAGTGAAAAACAAAATCAAAACTCAACTAATAACCCCAAATCCTCAAATGAAAACCATCTGTCTTTCATGCCTTCAATGGCTTCAACCGGATTTGGACTCCATACTTGGGCTTTATGGTTAGTAAGATGACGGGGGCATGGCGATATTTCTCTGAAATTGTGAATCTAAACCGTGTAATTAGCATGGCTAATATGATCTTAGCTTCCATCAAGGCAAAAGCCTGGCCGACACAATTTCTTGGACCGGCAGCAAAGGGTATAAATCGGCCGGGTGTGAAGGATTTGGAGGCGAACCGGTCCGGTTTGAACTCGTTGGCATCCTTGCCCCACAGCTCTTCACTGTGGTGGATGGCGAGCACTGGGACCCATATTGCCAGCCCCTTTGGGATATGGAGGTCCCCTAGCTTGAAGTCTTCGAATGCCATTCGAGGGAGAACAGAAGCAGGCGGATAGAGCCTCAGCGATTCATTAATCACCATGTTTAGCTGCATGAATTAAAACGAGGTCTTTTCAGAGTTCTTAAAATCAAAATATCTAAAATAATATATATAAACTGAAGGGCGACTTAAATTTATGCCTCACATACGTAAATAAGCAAAACTTGGGGGACTTTTCTGAAAGAGAATTTAATTCTTTCAAAAGCTTAGCCAGGCACCAGCATTCCTTAGTGATTATATTCCCCCACACACGCCTGCATCCATTAGGACAGTACCAACTTTCATTCCAACCTTGAAAAGAACGAGGTCCTCTACGCCAGCTATGTTGTGTCTTTTGGATCAAATCAACCAAGATCTTGCTTCATGTTTAAAGTAAACAAATTGAAAGTCCACTTGTTTTCTTCGTTACACGTGCCTAGTCCGTCTTACATTCTATATTTAAATTCTATTCGAAGTATGTTGCCGTCTCTATTTAAATTTTATTTGGAGTATTGTAAATATTTATTTATAAAAATGTATATTTACAAATTTGAATTTGATATTTTTTTATGAAAATTAAAAGTACTTTAATACTTACACTATATACATTGGATTTATTTGTTTGATTTTATTATAAATCAAAATTTTTCATGACAAAACATAATTAAAAGTTCAAAAAATAATTTTTGTGCAACTTGTAAAGAAGTTTGTTATACCAATACAAAAGGCTATCGAGATTATAAATTCTAATAAAAATTGTTTTTTGAAAATAAAAATAATATAATTTTCAACATTATAATATTTTTCTTTAAAAAGCTAAATATGTGAATAAAAATCCCAATCCAAATTTGAAAAAACCATAAATTCTCTAGCACATTTGGGTAAGTACTAGTATTTGATATTAAATCCTAATCTAGTAGATCATCACCTTAACAACTATTAAATCAATGTGAGATATTGAGTCTGATGTTAATCTAATAAATATTATGATGTTTGACCTAGTAGGTCAGGACATTAGATGCTAATTCTATTTTTGATCAAATTAATATTATAACTTTTGACCTAGATATCAAATATATGTAAGTAGCATTTACCTACCAAGGTGAGTTTTGGTGTCAAATAAATGTAAGTAGCATTTACTTACCAATGTGAGTTTTGGTGTCAAATAAATGTAAGTAGCATTTACTTACCAAGGTGAGTTTTGACAAATGGTCGACGGACGGTGACTGGCCATTGCAGACGTGGTTGACCTCTGCCCGGACCTTCTCCTGCCAATGAGGGTTACTGGCGAGAAGCATAATGGTCCAGGTGAGCAAGAGGGCTGTGGTTTCATGGCCGGCGAAGAAGAAGGTCTTGCATTCATCCATGATTAACTGGAGGTTCAAGCCGAACCAATTCCCCTTCTTCTTCTGCATCTCGTTTAAAAGCATTCCGAGCAAGTCATTGCCGTAAGAGCTGCCTCTGCCGATTTCTACGCAGTCCTTCCGGCTCTGAATTATCTCCATTAGCAGCCTCTCCACCTCCATCTTCAGTGACTTTATCTCTCTGTTGTATTTGCTGGGAAAGAACCTGTCCCAAATAATATATTTTTTTTGTAATTAAAATCTTATATTAAAAAAAAACCTATGTTTTGGAAATGGGTGTTTTGAGGAATATCTTCGGATATATGCAGTAAAAATATACAATTTCAATTTGATTATTTAGAAAATCCCAAATTTCTATTCCCATACGGGAAGTTTCGCCTTTTTATATAAAAATATTTTTCCAAAAACTCTAAAAATTTGGAATTTTATAATGTGTTTTTGACCAAAGTTCTTACTCAATTCTTCAGAAATTAATTTTATAAAAAATTAATTCCCAAGAACTCAAATTAATAATATAATAACAAAATTTTTAAACCCAAACAATTTAATTTTAATAAATATTTAAAATATTTTAATATTAGCATAAATTTAATAAAAAATAAAAATATAAGCAAATACAAAAATTGTCACTCTTCAGACTCACCGGCTTCCGGGAAAGCACAGGTGTCGGCTAGCCTGAGCGCAGAGGCGCTGGAGAACGGTGAGCTGGCGGAAAATCTGCCTGCCCTTGTCAGAGCTCGTGTCGAATTCGGTCCGTGAGATGATGTCGGCGGTGAGCCGAGTCATGTACTCACCAATCTCGAACTCGGTCCGACCCGTCGACTCAACTTCTTCCTCAAGTAATTGGAGCATCTGCTCAGTGCATTCCACCATGTACCCCGCATAGCTCTGCCAGTAATCATAACCAACCGTTTCTAGTACACAGCATATGCTATATATAGAGAGATTGGGTTACATATACAAACATTAACATTCACGTTATTGTATCTAAATTTGAGTTAAAATGTTATCTTTATTATATTTTTGTTTTTTATACTAAAAATATATTGAAATTATCAAAAATGTTAATAATTATTTTATAAAAAATAAATCAAATTATGTTATAATTTCTGTGGGATGAGTTTCTTTTTTTTTCTTTTGTATTTTTATGAACAATGCTACGGCCTATTGCGTTAAACAGTTTGAGCATTTGAATGTATGCGCACATATATACACACAAACCTTGAGCTTGTCACCCGTGAAAGCCGGCGCGACGATGTGCCGCTGGTGGTGCCAGTCGTCGCCGTTGGCCATTAGCAGACCACGGCCGATGAAGTGCTTCGATCCCTGCTGCTGGAGCCACGACTTCCCGGCTTTGGTGCTGTACTTACACAGAAGCTCCTTGATCATATCCGTCTCCGTCAAGCACATCCGTGGCTCGATGCCGTTCCAGTATATGAACCTCTTCCCTGTCAATTAACAATAAAATTTTAATTTATAATTGAAAACAAACTATTAATGTGGATACCCAAAAATCTCTCCGGGTATGATATCAGGCGAAAGCAAATTCAGACACGGGATCATATTGAAGACTGGGGTCTGACAGTTTTGGATCTTCTCAGCTCAAACATTAGATCATGGAATGAGATTTTCCTAATACACTCATTGCTAACTTCCACAATTGACGTGACATATAACAGTCACCATAACGACAACACAAGTATCACGAGCTTGTTGACTCACAGAAAAAACCAAATCCTAAATTCAGACGCGGTGTTACCGGCCCTAAACTTAGGCTTTACTGCAAAAAACTCTCGGCAATGAAAAAATGAACCGTGGCGACCCAAAGTTTAGATACCGACACTGAATTTGCGGGCTAAATGGGGACAGAAGGAGACAATGTACCGTGGATACCCAAATCCTGAATTCGGGTGTCTCATAAACTTGCCGATCTTGGACGTTAAGTGATAAAAATACATTGACACGAAGTCTATTACACTGAACAATGCTGAACATAATGAAACACGACATACCATACAGACCGAAACACAGTTATAAGATTTTGCAGGTTATTGTCGTATGATCTTCTGGAAATGCTCATAAATTGTAGCTTCCAAGGTGTAGAGAGTTTAAAATCCGAAAGTATAAACCGAAAGATGTGACAACCAGATACAAACGTCTTGAAGTTCTTGGACTTAAAAACCAAGTAACTTACCCAAAATATCTGGGTGACCAAGCACGTGAAAATGATGTTGTCCTAAATCAAGTAATTATAATATTCTAACTTCAAGGCTGTTCAGGAAATAAAGCAGAACTCAGAAAGGGGTCGGTGGGTTACCATAGAGCTTGGACCAGGTAAGGAAATGGGGGAGGAGGCGACCGACAGTGTCATGACTGATGGAGTCCATGTCCTTGGAGGTGGACTGAGAAACCAGAGCAGCCATGTCCGGGATATTCCCCACTAGGAACTTGGGCTTTGGGCCTCTAACACCTTGCCTCTCCATGATTTTCTTTATTCTTCTTGGTGTAAGCCAGTAGCAATCCAATGTCTCATAAGCAATTCTGATGATCAAGGTCACAAGTACTCCTAATAGAGCCGCCCCCACCGCCGCAACGGCCACCATGGTGGTCACCGGAACAACTATACCTACACACTGGGTACGTAGATTTAGAAAGAGAGTAGAGATTTATTTTCTGCTCTTTCGTGAAATTTGAAGGTGGGAGGGGGGATGTGTGTGTGCAGTGATGAAGTTCAAGCCAATTTATAGGGAATAGAATGGCAAAAAAAATTTTTATACGTATTACACTAGAGGACTTGGCCGTAATTGAAAAAAACTAATATAACATTAAAAACGAAAGTGAAGAAAGAAAGAGAGAAGAAGGTGAATGGACGGTTGGTTGTTAAAAGTCCATTTTATAAAGGAATAAACTACCAAATTTTGTTAGGCATATACTTTGGGTTGGAAGAATAGAAAACAATTTGAAACTTAGTTAAAGTGGTAATATAATACTTGGGAAATTTATTTAAACATTATGGTTCAATTCCGAGCAGTTAAAACTTAAATCACGCATTTAATGACAATCTAATAATCTCCTCAAACTTAGGTTTTATAAACAGATACAAGAGACAAAAGAAAAACCAAAAAAGAGGGCAAAAGGTAGATCATTACATTGGTGAAAAATTAGTGGGTCTCGTATTATATTACCTAACTCACAGCATTTTTTTTATTTTTTTATAAAAGATAAAGAAAGAAGAAACTAACTAAGAAAAATAATTCTAGTCAAATTAACAAATAACAATTGGTCAAGAGTAAAAAGAGACTTATCCAAAATAGTAAAAGCTGTATTACAATTGATGGGAATTAATTTAAGAAGAATATCTGTACAGGCGTTACTTATCTTATAGTTAAAAACTTGTAATAATTAGTTCTTTTTGTATATATCTTACTATTAATCTTAAATATTATGAAATTGTTCTATTCAATTCATTATTTCTCGAACCACTAAATGGGTTATATCCTCCTAAGTCCATTTGAAGGACCCCCAACCTAATCTTCTTATTTACATTCCCCCCCCCCCTTTTTATTTCAATAAATCGGAATAATAATTTGTACTTTCTTGTCCTGTCAATATTGAATGTGAACTTAAATTAAAATTCAAACCTTGGTATGAAAATCTATAGCATCTGCAAAGACATAGACAATAAAGACCGAGTCAATTTCACATTCTACCCACATCCAGTAGTTTAATCGCGTGTTCCCGAAGGGGCGCCAAATCTAACGTTAATTCTGGAAAAAATGAAAAGTAAATGTAAATTGAAATGCGTTTTAATATAAAGCGATTGAAAGCACTCGAAGGGGGAATGCAGAGATTGGAGCTGTCATTGGATGGCTATGCTAATCATCCCATCCAACTCCCTCTGCTTTTAGAGGCTAATGACTTGTCATCCCAATCTGAATCAACTCACTCCCCATAGTTATCTCCAAGAGATGCACTCTCCATGTTTCATTACTTAGGGAGTAAAGATTCGAAAATTGTTAATTTTAACAATTTATGAATTTGAAATACTTACTCTAAATGTTTATCTCAAGATAATAATTTGTATTCATATTTAACAAAACAAATCCTAATTATCATTTACATGTTTTATTCGAATACTATATACAACGATGCGGGAATTATTAGTCTTAATAATTTATTGAGTGTAAGTCCTTAATTTAAAACATTTAAATTTAAATTATTCAGTAATAATTTATAGAGTTTTCATGTAATATAAATTTATGTTCACAAACTGATAAATGATAAGATATTACCTAAGTCTTTAATGCAATAAAAAAGGAAAATTGGCACACTAAAGTATAAGGGCTACTTGTTGCAATTAAAAGGTCGTGGGTCAAATGGAAACGGGAGAAAAAGTATGGGAACTACCTCTACAATCTGTTCAGTTTACGGCAACCACAGGCAAAAAAGATTTCACGTGTAGTACTTTAAATAAGAAATTTTCATAAGAGAAATATGCAGAGCATGAATATAATATCACTAATTTTATTATTAAACTTACAAATTAGTACACAAATATATTTATATATGCAGCAGATCACTTATCAGATTTATTCGAAGAATAAAAGTTCATTAACTCTTCTTTTTTTAAGGTTTTTTTTACATATATTTTCATTTATTTTATGATCTAAGGCTATGGGCTAGTCTGGTTCTTTTTTTTTTTTTTAACAAAAAAGCACTTTTGGTGAAAAAAAAAAGTCTGTTTGTGCAAAATTAATTAAAAAAAAATCAGAAATACTAAAAAAGAGGTTTTTTTGTTTATTTGGAAAGACTTGTAAAACCAATTTCTCAAACTCTTATGTATGATAAAAGAATAAGAAAGTAATTGGTAAAACCGAAACAACATTTTTACACAATAAGGTCTTATATAATTAGTCATTATGGTAATTTTATAAAAAAATGTTTTTATAATTTTGTACGTTTTAATAATTTTATTTGAAGTATTGTAAATGTCTCTTCTTAAAAAGTATGATTTCTTTTAGACTTGTTCTGTAATAGTCTAATTATTTTTTTAAAATTAATAAGAAAAAAAAGTAAGATTCTAAATCAGGAAACATGGCAGCAGCTTTGAATGGTCCCAACCCCGACCTCCTGATGATCTTTTAAGCAGTCCAATCAGTTTTCAATTGAATCTGATGCCCCCCTTTGTAATTTACTTTTTAATTCAAGTTGTAACTGATGATTCTGTATTTTTAAAAAAAAAATATTACTCCCTTTTATTTTTATTTTTTTCTCGCAAACTTTACTAATATAACCAGCAGCTCTCCCCTAAAATTTGATTTTCTGAAAATTCGAAAAAGCTAAAGAACTAATTGGGACATTCAATTCAGTCACCATTTTGGGCTGTTTCACCTCTTTGGAAATATTTAGATATCAAAATCAGTATTTACTATCCATTACCACCCTTTTTAACTGTAATTTGAGTTTTATTTTTTGATTAAAGTAAAAAAGAAACATGAATTTACATTTGAGGGTGTTTGCAAGAGTTTCTTTAATGGGTTGTTCAATTGGCATGATAAGGCAGGATAAGATAAACTTATCCTACCTTATCACACGTTCGATTCGCATGTAACAACTCAGGAGAAATGATATGTATTAGTGAATGTAGGATAGGTTATCTGGGCAACCGGGTTGGATAAAGTTTATCAGCATGTAAAATTTTATTTTCAGACAGAAATGCCTTGTACAATGCCAGAAATACCATCACTCTCTCCCGTTCGGATTACAAGTGAAACCAGTCGATCTCCTCCCGCCAATCTCTGGCTGCAATTTGGGCTCTGCTTCTGACGACGACGATGAGCACTGTTTCAAATCTGCTTGAAGTTTTGGCTGCAGTTTTGACTACTTGAAGTTTTGGCCGATTGATTTGGTTCGACTGGGTGTCGTCGAGCCACTGGATGACAATTGGGCATCAACAACGACGCAGAGGGAGGACGACAATGACTCCCGTCGACGCTCATGGCCTGACGAGGGAGGACGACGACAAGCGATAGAGTGAGGATGATGATGACGACTGGGCATACAGCGTAAGCCGATCCGGCTAAAAGGATGACGATCCGACTGCCGACGATGACACAGAGCTTTGACGACGGCTGAAAGGGCAATGCTTGTGGCCCAACGACAACCGGTTGAACCGATGGCAGAGGGAGGACGACACAGACGGCGATATGATGGCAGAGGGAGGACGATGACAGAGGGGAAATTTTTTTTATATATCTGGGGGCTTTTTGGTAAATTCTCAATTTTATCCTATTTTTCAAAAATTTTATCCAATTTATTATCTGTTAAACCAAACATGTGATAAAATTTATCCCATGGTAAATTTATCCAAATATATCTTTATCATCTTATATCCTATCCCCCATCCGAATGCTCTTAAAGAGATTTTGAGTTTTTCTACGTATACAATCACTTTTGAAATATTCTGTAATTTACTTTTTGATTCTACTTCTATTCATTAAAATACAAAAAAGATAGAATATATGCAGGGAAAAAGAGTACTTCTAATAATGAATAGCATTATTATAATTAAGTAGAAACTATTTTAAAGATTTTTCTAATTTTTTCTTAAATTTAGAATTACTCCATTGAATTTTTTTAGAATTTTTTAATTTTTTTAAAATTTTTTCTTCTCCTAAAACAAATTACAAAAAATATATTCCAAATATCAATATTATTACTTCCAAAAACTTTACAATATATTATAAAAATATGTCCAATTTTTGATTATAATTTATTTCTATTTCAATCTCTAATTTCTGACTTTTTTTAAAATATTTACAAACACCTCCTAAATCTAAATCTGGCATCACTGCTCAAGTGGGACATGACTTTTCCTACTAGTTTTAACTTCTGCAGAAAGTCTACAATATTACAAAATGTGCAGCAATAATTCACTGGTTTGCTATTCTCATACCTCAGTCCCAAAAATAAAAATAAATAAATAAATGCAGTTTAAAATCAATATTATTATATAAAATAATAATATAAACTATTTTCTTTCCTTAAGCTGACTTCATAAAATACATATTAATTTGGTTTGAATCATTAAAACAATGATATGTATCATACCAACACGTAGCTTGATTGGTGCGATTGATGTCTAACTTATAACAGAAGCTTAAGAGGAAAGACATTGTCCAAATTAAGAGCACGTTGAAGATTGCAAAGCGAAGGAGAATAACCAGCGGCCGGCCCGCCGGTTCAATTCAAAAATGCGCCGTCCAAAGGCAGGGCACCCTTCTGGTCAAAACAAACATTCATGCATGTGTAGCCGAAAGTTAAAGAAGTTTAAAACTGACCCTCAATTAGAGGACTTAGCTGCAATCAAGGTAGCTTAGAATATCTTCAACACATTTTAAGCACAGCCCTTTCACCTCTTAATTTCAAGAATTAGGTTCTTCAGTTGGAGATGTGTTGCACAATTTTTGTTTTATGTTAGGTCTTTATCATAGGCTCTACCCCATTGGGAATAACCCGTATAGTTTCTAATAGTTCAGGAAATCTGATCAAATTGAAAAGTGAAGAAGTTTATGTAAATAGCCCATAGTTTGGCAGGCCCCCT